AATAAATGAAGGAAATTTTAAAAGCTACAAAAAGCAAAAATGTGAATTGTGAAAATACAACCAGATACAATGGTTAGCTAGTCATTGGGGCTGGTTTAGTTAAGATATAACTAAACCAGCCCCACAGCTCTGTGTTATTAACTAGAGCTGCATGTATAGAGCCACCAATGTATCAGTCGGCTGATGCACTTCAATGATTTTAACTTTTGCTAATCTAGCAGTGTTAATTTTGACAGTTTTTTTTTTTTTTTAAATTTAGTTTTAGTCATAACCTTTTGACTAAAACTCATAATTTGGGCATCTAAATTCTTTTCTAAATTTAAATTGTAAAAGTTTGTTGTCTTTTTCTGGTGAAGGTGGCTCCACTCAGTTTACAAAGCATCATCTTTCCCTTCACATCAGCTGTGAAATTTCTGCTCTTCCTCCCAAGCGTTGACATTTTGCTGTGTTTTCTTGAGAAACCACCACCTCTGCCCCCACCTCCACCTTGTTTGTCAGCGGCATATCAGATGTGTGCATCTAACTTTACTGCACAAAGATATTACTTCTGATTGGATCACTTTCAAACTTGTCCCACCTTTCTATACAGCCAAATTAGTTTAGTTGCATTTTTATTAGTTGAGGAAAGTGTTGACACATTTCATCATAATTTTTGCCTTTGTGCATTAGTTTTTATTTAGCTATTGTCTTGTCTTGCATTGTCAGGAAAAAAAATGACGAAAACTATTGGTCAATCAACACAGGTATGTGGATGTTAAAACCCTGATAAATTCAAATTTAAAAAGTAAATAAGAGATGGAAGAAACACCCTTCAGTAATATTATAAGAGTTGATGTTGCATAGTTTGCCCTCAAAAGGGCAACTTCGCTGATGGAAACACAAGTGTTTGGAACACCACAAATACAACAACAACCTGATCCCGGCAGAGTTGGAAAGAGTGTAAAGGAATAAATAAATGTTTATCTTTCATGTGTATGAAAGAAAAAAAAAAAAACATCGGCTGATATAAATTAATATCTCATTCTTTAAATCTCTAAATATCAGTGTCAGTCTCCTGTATCAGTTGGGCTCTGTCATTAACAAAACAACAAATTAATATTTCATTTTTTAAATATTTCCAATTAACAAACAATGCTATACTATAACACTCCTAATAATAGGAACACTTAGTTGCAATGCTACTACTTTTATCAGGGGCCTATTTTTAAGGTCGATAGATAAAACTCTAAGAATAAGCTCCATGTATTAGGAGAGGTATCTGAATTATTTTCGGTATGTCACAATAATAATCTTCCAGTGTACCGGTACTTCACAAGGAATGCTTCAAGTTCAGAGCCACATTTCTGTGTGTGAAAACTATCCAACTACCTAGCCAGCATAAAAGACGAATCCCTCATCCTCTCCTCTTGCTTTTTCTGGGGTTTCTCTCTTTTTCCCTTTTTAATTTTTCCCTTGAACATGTATGAAGCTGTAAGGCTAAATGTGCACCAAACATCACAGTTAAAAGTAATACATTATGTAGGGTAGACTAGCAGTGGAACAGTGTAATCAAAATATATATATAGAAGTTGCCATTATTTAAAATGACAATGGAAATGATGACTTATTGTATAACACAGGATGAGCGATTGTTTGTAAAGAGCTGTGTGCTAACACACAGTCAACACACTGTCTCCACACACTTGACTGGAGGACCTTTCACCCCACCAAGCCCCCACCATCTTTCACTCCTCAAGAGTAAACATAAGAGTGGAGTCTGGTCTCGCTTTTTCCACTCTGACCCTCAAATGAAAGAGCTCATTCTCTGCTTCTTCACTCCCTCACCCCCTGTCACATCGGCCTTCCAGCCAGCCCGTCTGACTCACATTTGGACAGATAGATGCAAGTCTTTCCATTTTCTTTCTTTTTCATACGAGACGCTTAAGCTCCTGGAGACAAGGCTGAAATTGCACAAAAAACTCCTATCATCAGTCAGAAAGCTCATAAGGATTCGTGCTGCATTCATTTTGAAATCAAAAAGGGCTGCTTCATTTGCAGCGGGACATCGCTGCTGCACACATATGACTCATAAGTTGCAAATCCACTTCGAGCACATGCACTGTGAGCAGAACATAAATGACAGCAGAGGGAAGACGGAACTTAAAAGGTGAGAAAAAACAAAAACAAAAACAGACAAGCCAAGTAAAAACACAGAAGAAGCCCAGAACAGATACATTCTGGTCTATGCTGGCAAGCCATAATGACACATGAATAATGTATTACTCAAATAAAGGGGAACTCCCACATGTAGGCCACATAGGCACCATAAATACTCATAGAAACATACTGCTCGCTCTCTATTACGCTCTTTCTTATTTTCTGACACATATGCGCCATTACAATGATGGATGCTCATATTAATCATGAGCATATATGCAAATGATTCAGTGGAGGCAAAAGCTCACAACGTGAGACTGGTCTAAACATTTCCTTTCAGCGAGCACTGATAACCCCTAATAATATGGTCAACCTGTAAGCACTGCAGCCCAACCCACCTACTGTTCAAATCCTTTGTTTGCAAGAGACTGCCAATCAGAAGACAGTCAGAAATAGATAGGTCCTGAAATGTGTTGCTCAGGGGTGGATGTAGAGAGAGAGACTGCACTGAAGCCCAGTACAAGACGACACGACTTTAGTCTGAACTGTGAATCACGCAAAGCTACACAAGCAAAGTCCAAGAATAAAAATATGATGTTGCAAAGTGCCTCCTTTTTCTCTTTATGCAAATGCAACAAAAAGGTACAGGTACAATTTCACAACCGTACAAAAACAACAACAACAACAACAACAAAAACTATGCAAAGAAGCTACAACATTATATCTATGCAGCCAACAAATCTGTGCTGTTATTGCTGTATGAGCGATCCATGCAAACCAATGCAGAAGTAGTTACAATGACACAATAGTGTTGTGCCTTGATCAGAGGTCATATGTTGTGGTTTCACAAAAACTCACGTCACACGCGCCGAAGAGCATGAGCACCTTCCTGTTCACCATCTCACACAGTTGTTTGGAACTTCACCCCACCTCACCTAGTGAGCTCATTCAGGAGGAATCAGGAGATTTCTGACTCACAGAGAGAATAGCAGGGAGTCCACTCCATCTCTCATTATCTGCTGACTGTTTGTCAGACTATCTTCAGCCAGAGAAGAATACCTGTGCTCCCTTTGAAGTCAGAGCCCAAGTACAGTAAATTATTATTGTGCTAGCAATACACCACCAGGCCCTTAGGACAGCTGCTGGCTGTTCCACTGAAAGTGCATTACCCGTCATTCCAGTTGTTTGGTATCGCTCACATAGGCTAAAGAACAACTGAAAATGGCTCACTGTAGCGATATCCTGAGTTTATCTTCCTCCTCACTAAGAAAGAGGGGATATGGCTGAGTTTATGTAGGTCTAAAACAATAGAGAGTGGAAGAAAGAGAGGGAGAGAGCAGCGCAGCAACTCAGATTAAATAGCCAACACTCCTTTAAAAGGAGCCTTTGGGCTCCAGACAAGCCTGCACTTGTAAAATGTAGCGAGAGAAAGATGACAAGTGCAGTGCACCTCTAGTCTAACAGAGCGTAACAGGAAGTGGCAGAGCCTGCTTCACATGGGGCCTCTGGGGTGCAGCGGCTGACTGGGAACAAGTCACAGTCTCTAAAACCGCCAGCTCCAACGCCCTTACCACACAGGCAGAGTCAAATAATGGGCAATAAGCATCATCAAAATTTAGGGTGATTCTAAGGTGGCTTTGACTGAGCTCATGATTGGTGACTTAAAAAAAAAAAAGCCTGGATAAACTGCCCTGACAACTTGTTTAAAAGCAACCGCTTTTCTTTGAGGACTAATTACTAACTTACAGCTTACTGGCATACACAGCCCACACTACCCTAGCATCCTCTGTCTAGGGTAGCATGAGATACTGAAGCTGCACTAGATGCACCACTGGATGTACAGTAATTATAGTTTCCTGTGAGCACAGGAAACTGTTGCCTGTTTTGCACAGGCAATGCACTTGGTGAGAGAAAAAACATCACCACTGGCAATCAATTACATACAGACACTAATTATTGAACTTTGTCTGCATTGAGACCCCCAGTCTATAGGCCGATCTGATAAGTGAGTTATATAGAAACAGGAAGCAAAGGGGGAGGGGGAAAAACTGGGAGGGATAAGACAGATGCTACTTTTCATGTTGTGGGAAAAAAGTGTCGACAAATAAATGAGAGGAAAACAGAGGAATTGATCTGGTAGTGGTTTCCTAAGCCTCTGTAATGTGCTGAGAGTCTTTTTTGTATGTGTGTGTATCCTTGCATCACAGGCTGGATATAATAAAACCATTTATGAGGTAAAATACACACAGGTTCACACTGTATAGCTGTAACAACCAGATTACCCATATGATACATTTCATAAAGATACTATTTCAAAGAAGATAAGAAAAAAAAACAACATAAAAATTCTCAAGGTCACAAGCTATAAACTTCCCACTGACTAGCTCAATACAAAACATAACTCCATTTGAGAATATTAAAGTGATTTGTAGTTTGGGCTAAACCGAAACGGAGGACAGTCGTATAAAATTTCGATGGCTTTGCCAAAAAAAAAAAAAAAAAAAGTTGCCAACCTAAGTTTTTTTTTCTTTTCTTTTTTCTTCCCCCTGTTACTCCCATGCCTTTGTTAAACAAGTTCACAAAATAAACCTGTGGCTATCCCAGTGCTACTGAAAATGGCCAAAATGTTGAATAAAATCGTCTGCAGATGGGCTTTGATCGCAGAGGACGAGATGTCGTGCAGTGAGCCGAGCACAGCATTCCTGTATGCGGACGCTATCGTCTGCCGCTCTGGCTGTATGGGGGGGGAAAGCCAGCGCCAACAAATAGCCAAAAACCACTTAAACTATAGCACTGAAACCCGTAAAAGTCCAAAAGCGTGATAATGTTCACAAGCATGTGAACATTATGAATGGTGTACTTACCCGTAAATACAGAGAAAACGACAGGCGAGACGTCTAAGAGGTTTCCTGTTCGAAGTTGCCGTGTGTCAGTGGGAAGAAAAAAAATAACATTGTACGCGGAAGTGCACATAAAAAAAAAACTGAGTGATTAACCGCGAGGGGGGGAAGTTACAGTGTACCGCTTCGAAATTATCGAGTACGCAATAAATAAAAGTGGCAATGTTATAACTTTTTGTCAATTTACGTGTGTTTTAAGGTTTGAATGTTATATAAAAACGTAACAGTAACCCCTACAAACGGCTTGTTTCCGCACTGTGTTACACAGTAACCTGTCCCCATTAAGAGCCTACTCTCTGCAACACATGAGAATTTTATTAGCACGGTGTTTATGGACCCTTTATATTTGTGTAAACACGAATTCGCTTACTACCATTTAGAAATATCTAGACGAGATACCCAAAAAGTGTTATTAACACAATGCAAAATGAAACCCTTCCTCTGTCTATTGTTTACTTAGCCAGTCCGCTACTTACATGAAACCTGTTAAACCCATTCGTCTTCAGTTTTCTTTTATAATTAATGTTGCAGCAAAAACAAAACAGTTTTTTCTTTCTAAAAAATGTGTATTATGTTCTGAACAAAGACCGACAGTGTAAAGCATAAATTATTGATATGTGGGATGGTGTCAATCTCTGTATCTGCTTAGAAAAAAATTATCTTCACTACTGCGAAGCTAAGAAATCAGAAATGTCTGAAGGAACTATGTCTGCGGGAAATTAAGTATTAATATGAATTATTTATATTTTACAGACTTGAACTCTCAAAAAACTTTTCTCCCTGGTTTTCTCGATGCCTCACTTATTTTCCAGCCTTCTGGCGCCGCACTGTGGAGAAATATGATAACGATCAGGCAACAAATCTACACCTAACGATGTGTGTGTGTGTATTGACTGACTGAATGAATATTTAAGTATTTATTTTTGCTCTACATTGAGATTTTTTGACCCTGAGATAAAAAGGGCAAACGTTCCAAATACATCTAACAATAAAGATTCAGAAGATTTTTTTTTCTTTTTTTTCTTACATTAAGGCAACGGTTTCTTGTAACATGAGTAAAGTGTTTACATATACAAATATAATGTCTGATTAATATGCACTGTGTTACATAAATAAAAAAAAATGTAGCAAAATAAACCCTTAAATGTGTATTTGGGAATTTTTTGTGTCACTAGTCTGAAAGAACACATTGTAGATGCAAATAATGTCTCCAAAATGACCACTAAATCATTAATACATGTCTTTACCTGTACTGTGTCAGCTTATAAATTCTCTTTGACCTTTAAATCTTTTTCCAGGTTGACAAACTTCTTTGAAAATTAATTTAATCTCTCCCTGGATTAACGTAGAAAAGTACTGAGGCCTAAGCGCTTGGTGACAAATGATGTACACATGACGTGGATGCCACATATACATTAAATGATCTGAACTTTAATGATGATGTTACTATTTTCTGTTGCACACCTTTCTAACAGACTCACCCTCTATGTCTGCAGCCCCACTCCTTGTGTATTTGTCCAACAAATTTAGTTACAGTTGATAATGACCATTACAAATGTTTTGTCTAGTGAGTACCAGTGATCATCACAAGCACAGTGACGTTTCTTGTTTGATAGTGAGGTGTTTTTTCTTTAAAATATTTTTCACATGCTGACTGAGCTTAAGTGCGAGTAATAAATTCCTCTCTGTAATACTATGAGGTTCATTGAAAGTGCCTCAGTATGATTTGTGCTATTACGCAATGCTTTATAAATTCCCTTTTTTTTTTATAGATGGCAAACAAACAGTTTAAACTTTTTACATTCCCTGAATAGAATATGTTTCCTATCATTAAGTGGCATACATAAAACATCCTAACAATCATCTTAAAACATTAAAATATACATCAAAATGGTGATAACAACTTCTGCATGTGTAATTGTAATGTCTCATTTGTCCGCATTTTGCCAGCTTGTAAAAGCCAATCTAAAAGAAAAGCAGGTAAATAATTAGTTAAACACAACAGAAAGTAACAGAAAGTTTGGGCAGAGATCTCTAAATGTAAACAAGATTTAATTATTTATAGGAAAAGAAAAGTTCAAATTAAATTGGCATGGTGTGCAATTACTGTGCTTTTTCAGTTTAAGAGACACTTTTCACTGACTTTTCATCAATGCATAAAAAAATCACAAGTCATTATTTGTGTCAATATAATATAATATAATATAATATAATATAATATAATATAATATAATATAATATAATATAATATAATATTTCTTTTCACTGACTACCTGAATTCCACAGATTGTGTCAGAATTGTGATGTATGAAGCACCCGTATTTTTTAAATCTTTTCAACAACACAGTCAACAGTCCGCTATCCAGAATAATATTTATTGCTTTTGAAGATATTACTCTTTTTCTTCTTTTTGCACTTTCCATTTTTCCTCTTTACAGTAAAACAAAGAAAGATGACAGGTAAAACCACTGCACTGTCATTTCTGGATGTGTACACACATACACACACACACACACGAGGAAATAGTATTTACAGCTGTTAGTGTTCTTCCTGTGGAGGTGACTGGAGGCCTTTCCTGGAGCAACTCAACAAACATAGAGTTTTACATTAACTTTACAATAGAGCTTTCACAAATAATCGGTATACTGCCACTGTTTGACAAACCATCGGCATAAAGGCTATGAAACTGTACAATATGATTCACTGTTCACTCCACGCTGAGAAACAGGGCTGTAGAAAGGATGTTGGTCATAAGATCTGGGGAGAGGAAAGGTACAGGTTTTTTTTGTAAGTATTCCCTCCCACCACTGTTTAGTGTCCTCAAGCAAAACAAATTGCTCTGCTGCTGGCATGGACAAAAAGAATCGATTGAAAAATAATCAAAACAGATTTTGGGGGGAGGATTTAAAGAAGAAAATGCAAAGACCAATATTATTCACATTAGATTAATTACAGTACAGGAACATTGGGTGAATGCTAACTAGAAAAATAAGTCTGCCGGCATGTTTTTGAACCCAAAGGGTTTGTACACTGGGCATCTGGCAAGAACAAAATGACCAAAGGGCACAATTAACTGGGGTTGAGGAAATCAGAGACAAATCCCAACGTGAGCTCTGTCCTCAACATTAAAAAAAAGTCTTCAGAGTGCAGATCTTCTGCCATTAATAATTTCAATTTTGATACACCTAAGCTTATAATTTTCCAACATGTTTAAATACTGAATAAAATCACAACAATACAGCTAAATCTTATCATAGTGAATTATAATTAAATGTCATGTACACCATATTAAAATATATACAGAAATATTCATACAAATTCTAGATTGGTCCAGCTCCCTCCTGCTCTCTTTTTCTTTCCTGTTAGAAAATGTGCACCAAGACAAAGTAAATACGCACAGACTGTCACAGTTAGCACTATTGAACAGATGGATTGTTAACATTTAAATTAACCCACAATAAACAATATATATATTTTAAAAAACAGTGCAAAATGAACTCAGGGCAGTAGCTTCACTCACACACTTGCAGTTCTTTGAAAACGACATTGAGTGAAAGGACCACTAGGTGGCAGTATTTGACCATGTCTTAAAAGCCACAGTAATTATTTATAGTCTAAATCTGTAGAATTACAGGACAAATCTGTAAAATTGGATCGATCTGAGCATCATTTGTTGTTCTGTTAGTTTAGGGATGTTGTTTGTTAATGTTTGTCAAGGCAGGAATTGCTGTGTTGTAATTTCCCACCTCGATGCCTTCTTTCGTAGCTCAGCTGCAGACAGCAAATTGTAGACTAGTGCTGGCAATGCATAAAGCAAATCTACAAACCATTTGGTGCGAGAGATCAAAATAAAAAGGACGAGACAGCCGACACTCTAAAAACTGTACACCCCATATATTCTAAGATGAATGAATCAGTAGTGTAATGGACTGCTGGCAAGCTCAAAACTTGCACAGCAAACAGGAAAACTGCAGTTTTAGAAGTAAAAGAAGTTAACTGCCATTCCTGGAAAAGGGCTGGAAAAGATCTGATGATTTAAAGTGGAAAATTCATCTCAGAGAAACAAGGAGAGAAAAAGAGAGTTATCAGACCATAGACTGGCAAGATGGTGGACACATCAGAAAATGTCTTAGCTGTGTATCAGTTTGAGAGTCTCTGTCTCCCTGTGTCTTTCATGCAGAGCCATGGAAGGTGAGAGTGACCTAGGCAGGGATGGAGGAGGAGGAGTAATGGGCATCAGGCTCTTGAGTGGATGTGGGGACACTGGTGGAGGAAGAGAGGAGATGGGAGGCAACACGCTTCCTTTCTTCCCATCTAACACAAGCTGTGATCGGTTCGCATGGCTGGATTCCTTCCGAATGCCAAATTCATGCTCGTTTTCATTGTCCGAGCTGCAGTCGCTCAGATCTGTTATCTCCAGGTCTGAGTCTGACTCTGGGTCCTGCTTCACCCCTCCTCTTCTCTCTGTGGGGCTCTGCTGGTCTGTCCCAGTCCCAGCTCCTAAGCTGACCGCTCCCAGGCCCAAGGTCAAGCCGAGACCCGGAGGATTGGGCTCCACCCTTTCTCCCAGTGTCGCCCCGCTGCCAATGTCTGTCCGACCCATCGACAGGCTGCCCTGGTACGGCGGCAGGCAGAGTCTGGCCGGCTGACCACCCGCTGTGCCATTTGTCCCGCCAGTTTGCCCCGCTGCTCCCCTCTCACCCCCACCTGCCTCTCCAGGCGGGAGCAGGGAGGAGAAGGGGTGAGGCAGCTGTGAAAGGCTGCTCTGCAAGGGGTTGGGGTAAAACTGGGAGGGGTAGAGGGAGCCAGGGGGCAATTTGGGGCAGTTGTTGAGAGAGAAGGCCCCTGGGAGGTAGGGGTTGAAGCCCCAGGGGTAGTCAAAGGGTGGGTTGCGAGGGTACGGGCCCAGCAGGGACGGGGGTTTTGAATAGCACGGTGCACCTAGGACAGAGAAAATCCAGAGATGGAGGTTAGCTCTCAGAAGGGGCAAAGGTTTCCTGACATACAACATCCAAGAATGTTCACTAATTATAGTCAGTGGTATTAGCAATTCTAATCAGGAGCCACAGGGGCTAATTCTGGCACGGCTGCTTTCAACACAAAACCTGATGGTTCATTTATGCATGCCGGTACTGTGTAGTACACCCACTTCACACCGCTGCAAACCAGATGTGAACACAAAGATTCTCCACTGCAGTGAAAAACAATTAAGAAGAGTTCCCGTCTTCCAAACGGCTTATCATTTCCTTGTATATTTAAAAGAAAAGAAATATGTGAAGTGACTCTGCTTCTGTTTTGATTGCGCATCATTGCGGTGAAACCAGTCACACTGTTGAAAATTCTCACTGAGAAATAATGTCGACATTTGTCCCCACAATGCTCTGACATGTCATGATATCATTTCAAATTAAGCAAAAAACACTTATGGTGCAGCAAATTGCGTTGCGTATTTGAATTCAATCACTTGAAAACAGAGCGAGGGGGCAAATTTGAGGTGATGCAGGAATACAATTTTAATGAACAAACAAACGCATTGCCTCTCAACCTAGTCTACTTCCTTCCAAATGACAACCGACTCAAAGATTCTCTCTCTGCTGCACCCTCCACCTCTCTCCCAGCCGTTCTCACTCTCTTTTTCTCTTTCACTCTGTTATTTACTATGCAGGGCTAATTTGACAGTGGTGAAGTCTCTGCGTGCTGGGCCAGGAGTAGCTGGCAGACACATGAATATTGAATCAGTCAGGCAGGCCTCACTTGCTTATGAAAACACAGTAATGGGCGCCCACAGGCCACAAACTGAAGCCTGCACCCTCAATTAGGGCCTTCCTGCCTGGGAAGGGATTAGGACAGCGGGGACACATGGGAGGGAGAGGAGGGTGAGAAGGGAAGAAGGGGGGAATAGGACCTGAGGACAAACAGAATAGGGAGGAGGGAGAGGGTGCCGGTTCTGGGATGAGAATTGCATATGTGTGTGAGTGAGTCTGTTTACACACTACCTCTCGAGCTCTGCAGATTCGTATACCTTCTTATGCGTGTGCAGAGATTGCAAACGAAATGCATTTGTGCATGCGTGCCATCAGTCAAGCAAACAATGACACTTCCGTGCTGTGTTTGGTTGAACTCACTTTCTGAGATAGAAGGGGACAAATGTGAACAGTTGCGCTGAAAAAGTGGATGATTTCTCCAGCCCTCGACTTGTGTCTCACTACAGCTGACATGCATAATTCACCAGCTAACCTGGGCTTTCTCACCTGGAGCACAGTCTCACTGTAGACTGCTATGGGACAGCCATCTCTCTTATTTCCTTTAACAATAAATGTTCATGCCTCACTGTATCCTCATTTCTCTCTCTGCTCTCCTTACATTGCTACCTTCTCCTCCTCCCTTTGTTTGTACACTGCCAATCATACACTTTATATATATATATATATAAGTGTATTTTTCTTCATGCAATAGAGGAAGACCGGCACGTATCTGACCAACTTTGTCATTCTCTCTGCTCACCTGAACTTAGGAAAGGAAATGAGTCCAGTCTCAGTTTGTCCCCTTCAGGTCCTGGTGCTGTGGTCCCCCGATCGAAAAGGGAGGTTCCTCTGCTGGTGTCTGGCAAACGAGGAAACAAGGACTGTATGGCCTGAGCGGCAGAAAGAGACACAAGCAAAGAAAAGGAGGTTAGAGATGAGTTTGTACCATGAAATAATAATAATAAAAAAAGCTTGCATACGGCACACATATTCCTACAAATCTGCCTTTATGATGCTGCTGCACTTTGCTGGGTAAAGTCATATGTTGACAGCAGCACCCTGCAGAGTGTGATGCAAACAGTGACACAGTCGCAGCAAGGACAGGATAAAAAGGGAAGCCATGGGACTTGGGGTAAAAAAAAAACAGGAGGCAGGAGGACGCACGGGCTCAGAGACTCAAAGGGAGGAAAAGTACAGAGTCAAATGGAGACCAATGATTAAGATTGTGGGCACAAAGGATAAATGAAAAGAAGAAAGAGGGATTGTGGGCCAGCTTGTGTAAAGGGACACAGGACAAATAGCAGTGAGATGTGAGAGAATGACATCCACTTAGAAGTAGGGCAGCTGTGTGCGTGTCAGTGAGTGCGTAGATTTTTTTCTGTCTAAAATTTGCAAAGAAGAGGTAAAATAAGTGGAACAGTTTAATCTTAGGAATCAAGGGGACACGGGGGGATTTCTTTTTCCCCCTAGCGTGATTGCGGATCAGTAGTATCTGTCACCCTGCAGCCCCAAGTTTGAAAGGCGAGACTGTACTCCCAAGCTGCGAGAGCTGCGTTGCTTAACAAACCGCATTAATGACCCGCCATTGATCTGATCTGACGCGACCCCTTTGCTTTCTATTTCTTTCATTTTCAATCGATGACAGATGGATACGCCATAGGAGACAGGGATGAGAGAAAGAGGGGATAACGTCTTCTTTTGTTTTAAGGGCAAGTTAAAACCGTCCCCCCTCCACGGTCTCCTTCAGAGCTCGCGTCTCCTTATCCCCATCTTAAGGACGGCACAGACAATTGATGAATGATTCTCTCTTACTGTACTTTCAAGTTACTTGTACTTTCTAGGACATTAGTCATCTAAAATAAAATTATCTGCACACCAGCACTTATACCCAAGTCAAAAAAATAGCCTTCTTCATCAATTTGTGCAGCCACATCTATAATTTAGTGTAGAATCTGAAACGCAGAAATTGATTTTTTTTTCCATTAAAAAGAAAGAAAGAAAAATCTCTAAATATCTTATAAACACAAGTAAAGTCATAACATTATTTTTTTTTAACCAAATTAGGACATTTTTGTTCACGCCTCCATCTTTTTTTGTGTTCTGACACATTTTATCTCTGTAAAAATTTTACAATCTCTTAGGGCAAATAATAATCAAACTGTAGTCTATTATGACCCCCATTAGACAGAGTGAATAAAAGATAGCTACGATGAATACCACCATTCTTTTGCAAAAAAGGGGGAATGCACAGCAGGTGCCTGAGAAATATAACAGCTCGAGTTGAATGGTTTTCAGTTACCTGAATTAAATTTTTGTTGATAAAAATTTAAGGAAGCAGAGTGCGGTGTCCTGCTATATTTCATCCTTTTTCTTTGTTTAAAGTTTGGCTTTTTTAAATTCCCTCTGTTTTAAAATGCTAGTTCTCTTTATTACCTGCTATAGAGACACAATTTGAACATACATAGGTATGATTTCTCACATTATTCACACAATTTTCTATTTATATGCTACTAAATCTACTACTTGCATACAGCATATATCCTTTTACCCATCCACCCCCTCTCACAAACCCTCCATCCTACCGTGTGTACCTCTGGGCTGCAGTCTGGTGTGGTGGAGCCCCCGTTGAAATGGTTCTGGGCAAGGAAGAAGGGCGAGCTGGCCATGTCCAGGATGGGGTAGTTCACCAGCACAACCTTACTGAAGTTAAACTTGTAGGTGAAACGCTTCCCTTTGGTTTTGTGCAAAATACGCTTGTTGTAGTAATACCTGCAAAGGAGCGGGAGAGAATATTGATGGAGGGATGGAGTGAAGTGATAAACGAAAAAGGAAGAGGAAAAGGAAAAGAGGTGGGAAGGATTAATATAATACACATCAAGGTTTTGTGTTTCATCACTATAAGTAAAGTATAAACAACTTCAGTGCTGTGAGGCAAGAGCTGTGCTGATTTCCCAGTGTTTTTATTCATCTCCTCCTTTCTCAAATCAATTCATGTCTGGCTGCCTCTATTCAATACAATATGGTTTTGTAAAGTGAATTTTATATTCAGCAATTATCAAACCCCCCCCCACCCCCCCACCCCCCGCCTCAAAACCCCCCAAAATCTAAATTCGTTTGAACCTCTCACACAGAAATACTACACAAGAAGTAAATGTTCCTTTCATTATGCACAGGACTATTTATCAATTGAAGAAATAATGTGAGCATCACGTTACACTATCAGATGAGCTTTTTTGTTTCTAGAAAATTAGAAATTTGTCGGAATGACACCATTTGACATGACAAAAAAACATCACCGTTTCCAATAGCAAAGCACATTCACAAAGAGGTGGGACAGCAAGAGAGGTCTCCATGGTAACGACCCCCAGTGTCTCCCGCTGGGCATGTCAGGTCGTCATCGTACCAGTTTCCTTTGCCACCCACAGAGGTGTCACAATGTACAATCTGCCAGGATGCCACGTTGATCGGCAGCAAAGGAAAAACATGGAGCCATCTGGCCCAGGTAAAAGCTGAGTGCTCAGGTGGAGGAGCGTAGGGGGTGGGGGCGAAGTGGGATGCGACAAATTAAAAAAACCTGCAGATGTCTTATTGTGAAATACAAGTTTAAATCTGGTTTCCTTGTGGACTTTTTGGACTCCTTTGTGTGAGTGCAGCCACAGTGAGCGTGCTAAACACAGAATTCATGAGACAACCTCAGCATTAAATAGTGGTGAGCTCATTATGCAGGCACACTATATCAACAAACACAGCAGCGTGTACATATCTGCATGTATCCACACTGGCTGAGCCCAGTGCAATGATGTGTACATGTTTTGCTTTGCGTGGCAATTGTGCCATGGCCCTTAATTGAGCAATTAAGTAAGGCTAATTAAGAAGGCTAATTGTGGCCCCAGCCAATTTATAACAATTAAACTCTGACGACAGTCCCCATTAACGAGAGGCCGAAGGAAAGCAGAGGGAGGGGGTGGGGTAGGGGAACAAGTTGGGTAGTGGGTATTTGCATAAGAAGATTGTGTGTGACTGGCTGGGGGTGTAAACTGCTGAAGGTATGGAGTGTGGCATTGTTTTAATCACCTTCAGCAAGTTCAGTGTCGAGTAGTTTTGCTGTTCTGAAAAAGTCCAATTTCACACTGGGGCTTAATTTTGAAATCCCTATTGAATTTTTTATTTGGCAGCTCAATGGTGAACTTTCCATTAGGATGTCCAGAGATAAGGAGAAATTGAGGTTATTGACGTTCCCCAGGAAAAATCCCACCTTTATCTTTCCATTTTTGCCAACATGGAAAAGAGAGATGTTAAGTGGGGATTAAATCCAACAAGAGTAAACACTTTATGGAAACCGCAGGGTTGTAGCCTGATTTATCTGATGCAAACAGTGCGGTTGCCTGACATTCAACACATCTCGTATGAACACATACCTCAGAGCCCTGCTCAGTTTGTCATAGTTCATGTGAGGTTTGCATTTCCTTATCCCCCACAGTCGGGCCACCTCGTCTGGGTCCTTGATGACAAACTCCCCGTAGTCTCCCTGCCAGGCTATCACCCCTTGGTACTCTTCCTTCTGCAGGAGCTCTAGGATGAAGTGCCACAGCTGGATCTGTCTGGAGCCGGGGCTCGACTCGGGCTTGTAGGCCCACTCTGGGAAGGCGATCCCTGGGCAAAGGGGAGGAGGAAGAAGCAGGGTGAGGTGTTTGTCCAGTTGCTCACAGGGAGTGTGTGCATGTGTGTGTGTGTCTGGG